AAGTGCCCTGACTCACCACAATTGTAACACATAACATTCTTTGCCTTACTGAACGATTGTATTCTTTGTTCGCTTTCACCCGCATTATGAAAAGGCTTTTCGTTTATCTTCATGCAATTTTGTAAAAAGTTCTCGCATGCTTCACGCATTTCTTTAACGGATACGAATTTTTGCGGAGCAATCGCCATTTGTAGTTCTCGATGTTTTAATCCTTCTCGGGCGTATTTCGTGATAGCCATCTCACTAAGATTATGACGTCGTCCTAGCGCAGAGACACGAAAAATGAACTCAGTTATTGTTTCGTTTTGCCTTCGAGCAACGCGCGACATATTGTAATGTATATCCGCTTCATCGTATTCGCAACCGAACTCGGTGACAAGCTCATTTGAGAACTCCTTCCAAGTAGCATGCATTCTTGGTGATGCGTCCACCCACATGCGCGCTACACCCTTCAAACGGCTATACACTGCAAGAAGCACACTTTTTTCGGGCCACGCATATACAGACATAACAGCTTCAACACGTTCGACAAATTGCGTAGCCGTAATAGAATCTTCATTCGTTGGGTCGAATTCGGGTAGGACTTCTGCGATTTCTCGTATAGAATGCGCGTTACGGTCCTTACTAGGCATTTCTGAAGTACTGTTTTGATTGTTTCTACCGTTATTCTGGTTAATGGCCACTTGTTGCACCATTTGCCGCAGTTCGCTAATTTGTTTTCTCAATTCTTCGTTTTCGCCCCGCAATTCCTCATTATCGTTCGTAAATTGTAAAACTACGCCGCTTGCCTTCACGTGTTCAGTTAATCTTGCAACTAATTCTGCCTTATTGCCTGTAGTTGATAACTCTTGCTGTTGTAAGAAGTCCTTCAACTGTTCCTTCGTCAGTGTCTCGATGGTCACCATCATTACGTATATATCTGCGTTCGTTTGTTTTTTAATTTTCTGCGCCAAATATTACTTACGTTTTAATTACTCCCCTTTTGGACATTGATTCAATCCCACTTCTGAACTTTAAACTTTGGTTTAATTTAATTTTTTGCAATACAAAACTTATAGACTTTCTTTTTACTAACATTACTTTACTTTATTTAACTAAAACAATATATTTATTCACGACGCTACCCATCGAACTTCCGTTATCATACTTCACTCGATTGTGTCATTCGCTGTCAAACATAGGTTAGGTGACCACCTGTTGTTAAAAATTTTAAGGTGCCCAGTTGTGCGTTTCGGATGTAGGTTAACACATATTTGACCTCAATATATTTATTAAGGTTTATATTTCGAAAATTTATTACCGATTTTGTGAATAGCTCTGAAATCAAAGAATGAATTGAATAGCTATAAGTGCATAGGATTTGTATTGGTTTTAAGTAAAGTAAATAAATAAAATTTCTATTTCTTTGAACACTGCAAATGTGATTTTAAAAGGAATATTAAATTTTATTTTAACTACAAGTAGTCAACATTTATTTAAAGCACAACTTCAAATCACAATATATTTTTTATTATTTTATTATTTATTGTGCTTTTATCAAAAAAATTTAACAACTTTGCTCGGAACATATCCATCAGAGAGCAAATTTCAAACACTACTCAGTTTGATGTCAATCGGTTGAGTCTGATTTCATCAAAAAAAGTGGAAATCAAACTTTAAAATCGAATAAAACTGTGGCAACTAAATCATGTCTGTTTTAAAAATTGAAATAAATATTAAAGTGTGTGGACCACGTCGTTTAGCGTTTTTCTTTGAAGCCTTTGAAGTTATTTTACTTATAGTCTAAATATTATTTTTGAAAAAACAAAAAAATGCAATAGGATATTATCTACAAAGAAATAAAAGATAAAAATATTAAAACTATGAAAATCTTATATATGAAATATTGATGGATATGGAACACTCAGCAGATTACTGGCTTCTTGATTTATATACTTATGAAGTCTAATGTACCTAGTGACTGGATTTATTTTAAAGTTGCGTTGCAGATCAGCGTTCCCGAAATGCTATAATGAACTTATAATGACTCTTAGATTTTCATTTTTAAAAAGTATTTTGGGCAGTGTCAGGTTAAAAATTTATTTAAATAAAATTCGATTATAATTTTTTAAATAAATAATACTTTATGTATTTAAACTTGCCTTTTGTTAATTCGTCGAGCAGAAAGATAAAACAAAAACTTTTATTAGAAACTTACAGACACACCTTCTGCTACAGTGTCCTGCCTTCGCAAGACATAGACTATCCTACTTAGGGTCGCACTTTTTCTATTCATTAAGAGAGCTAGATTCTATTTCCATAGCTCATGTCAATGGCTTTGTAGCCAATACCAAGTGGTTATAGGGACAGGTGTCAAATTCTTAGGGTATCACAATGGACCTCATGGTCTAAGTGAGTTTTCGGACGGCCCCAGTAACCTAACCTAACCTAACCTACAGACAGAGAAACAAATCAACATCAACATATCGATTTGCTTCGCTATATAAATCGATGCCGTAAAGACTATATAAGGCTTAAACGATTTTTAATTTTTTTTTCACTACATACTTAGATTTTGGGTAGTCGTATATATAATTTGCATATATTGTTGTGTATTATGTATTTACCACAAAAAAAAAAAAAATAATTGATTTGAAATTCCAGAAAATTTATATTTATAGACTATTGTTTACGTATGTAATTTGAAAAAGCTACAAAAGCTATATATAGTATTATATATGTCATTTTCATATCTACAAGATATTTCATTCAACACGTTGAACTTCATGTTAAACACTGCAAGGAAGAATACATTAGTGAACATCTATATTAAATAAATAATTTTTCTGCATACTCGATAAAAGTTCAATATTAAGACAATGTTATATTTTATTTCATTCATATATGTAAAAGGATTTTTTTTAGTACTCTTTGTACATATACTTGTGTTAACACGTATGTACAATATAAATATTTATATACATATGTACATAATATTTCTTATAAATTTTTATTTGAAAAATTTTTGAAAAGAAATGTGTATTCCATTCTTTATTATAGAAAAGAATATGTCAAAGATTTGCTTTGTGACAAAATTGAATACACATGGGTGTATTTTTGTATGTAAATAATTGTTTAAAACAATATTAGCTTATGAAAGTTCCCTGTACATTTAATGGCATAATGGATAAGCAAATATTTTTCAGTGGGACATAATTCTATCATATTGAAAATAATAAGAAATAAAAATAAGTTTTTAAATTCATTGAATATATTATCTGATAAAAATATAATAAGAAATTAATTTTGCATAATGTATTAAATATCATAGACATTAAAATATATTTACCTATATGATATATAATATCATAGAGACAGACATTAAAATTAAATATCATTTATTCAAGACGAAAATAAAGCACCCTTTAGAAGTTTAAAATAAACTGAAATTTTGTATTTGCAATTTTTTTATAATTATTTATCATTTTCAACAATTTTATGTAATATACATACTTATTGTAATACGTATATTATATATTTATATGTGAACAAAAGTGGTTTTTTATTGTTAAATCTGAGCTCTCTATACGCCATTCAATATAATATTTAGCATAAAAAATTAATTAATACGTTTATTATAAAGTAGCATATTATGTTTATGATGCTAATGATGCTTAATATAATTATTTAATTAAACACTGACAAATCACTGGTTTGAATTAATTATGATTAACAAAATTAATTTTTAATATATAATTAATACTCTTCAAATAACAATAATTTGTTTAGCTTTAAACCTTGCAATTGCAATGTCTTCAGCATTATTAGTTCTTTTGAAACTGCATAATCCAAATCTTAATTGTATGTGGTTTTATGCAAACCAATTTACTAAGTTCTAAAACCATCCCGATACTTTCACTTCCTCCAATATAGTACGACATTAACACGATAATGATAATCCCTCACAATTCCACAATTTTAAATTTCTTCTTATGTTGAAGTCAAATAAAAAAGTCACATAAAAATGCAATTTAATAGGTTGACACTGTGACAAGAGGTTAAGTGATTTATATTCACATTCACGTCTATGACAATTACTGATACATATAATTATTTTAAATATGTTTAATTTATGCAATATAGCGGTAAGAAAGGATTATTTCGCAAAATAATTTATTATTTCGTTGACATTATTAACGCTTTTTCATGTAATTAAAATAATTTTGATGTGTGTTTAAGTCTCTACATTTCGTTGTAAAATCATTTTGTCACTGTGATATTTGTGTTGCAATAAAAGAGGTTAAAGTGTAAATTTAGAGGACAGTTACATTGGGAAAGGTGAAAAATTAAGGATTTCTCTTAAAGGAAAAAAAATTGCTTTAAAAGATTTAAATAATATATCTACAATTTATATGACCACAAACTGTTCTATTTCATACCTTCGCGGAAAAAAGTACAGTTATTTAAGTAAAGTTATAAGCCGTCTAAATTAATGAACGATGAACGACTTTACAATGGTCTGAGACTGGCGCACGGTTATGTAAATTAATAGAGTAACATCTTTCCTAAACTATCGCACAGTTATATAAATTAATAGAAATATATATTTCATGGTTCTTGCCACGTCAGAATAAAGGCACAACATGTATATAAAGAAGGCAAAATCTCTTTGATGATTTTGTTGTAGTAATAGATATAAAATCCATATATTTTCTTGATGTGAATATAAAATCTGTATTCTGCGCTGTCGATTTTGTACTAAAATATGATTTTAAAGACATTTTCACATTCAATATATCACCAAAGACCTTGCAGAACTTGATAGTTATTAACTTTTAAATCTTTCATTTATTTAATTCTGCTTCCTTGTTCAACATAGTGTGGAATATTTGATATATTACTTCTAAGAACAATGTATTTT